CGTATAACCGCTGTATATGTTAGGGGAGCATAAGAATTTTAGAAAGGCTTAGGTGGGGCATAGCACAAAAAAAGGTTGAGAAACACTGATCTAAAATATGAAAAAACTTTTGACTCATCTGATTTGTATTTCACAGTATATTAGCTGAAATGTTTGTGCAAATATCACAAAAACAAAACAGTGTATTATGCACATACACCATGAACAGACGACAATATCGCCAACACATTTTAGCGAACGGTTCAAGAAATATTCAACTGGTCTATCTCATCCGCTGGTTCACCTCTCCCGAACTTACCCTATATTATGACTGAAATTATTTTATAAATCAAATAGCTCTGTGTAGAAGCACTGAAAAACAAACATTTTATCAGAATATAGTGCATCAGTGATAAGTATCTTGAATTTTCTCAACCAAGTATCCGTTCTACTCAACCACAACCTGTCTAGAAATAATACAAGTCCTTATATACTCCGCACCTTTTTTTATATAGGCCTATATATATGTTCAAAGTTTATAAGAAAACTATCTTAAATTACCGTTTTGCTTGAAACTTTAACATTGTTTTAACGTTTCGAAACCCAGTTATAAATTTATATAAATATATGAAATCTATATGTAGCCTACATAATATTTGATACACGGATTGATTCTTGTAATTTAAGCCTAAATTGTAAAAAATTTTTATAAAACCTACGTTTATAGTAATCCTTAATGTTTCGTTCACGTTACTATTAACCTTTAATTAAATATTCCTTGTTTAAAAATAGAAAATTCTCTTATCCGCTATCTAAACTTGTTTAATTTTAATAGGTCACGGACAACAACTTCCATATTATGATTTGAGTGTTGTGGACAAAAGCTAATCATTATCGAATAATATTAATATATCGATTTATTTCCTCTTATACAAAATGAACGAAAGAATTATTTTTACTCTTCAAATTAATTACAAAACACAAAAATAAGGATTAAATTATTACAATCAATTTTCTATTTGTTTAACTATAAAGATCCTGAAAAGTAATCATTCCAAACAAAAATAAATTTATAAAATAAAAGATTTTCTATTTTTAACATTAGATTAAATGTAAAGATAAAACATACACACTTGTAACTTTTATTTATTCATTTATTAATTAATAAAACTGTAAAAATAACGATAGCAGAAATGAGTGACACGCAACGTGGTTACTTTATTAACACTTCACATACGAAACAATCTTACTTCTGTCATCTGTATTGAGCTATGATGCAAATATATGAATAAATTAATATTTAGACTTTTTTCCGGAATGATTCGTGTGATAATTGCTTCGCGACGAAACATTTTCGTTTAATTGCGACATCATATTAATGCGAAATCCCAATTATAAACTTTATTTTATATTAATATTTAAAACAGGGAAACAATCTTTATTCGTAGGTCATCAAATATATATGTAAAAAAAGTTTAATATTTTATTATAATTCGTTAAATGTCGTAGTATAAAATGAATAGGATGTACTCGACCGACTTCAGGATAAGAGGATAAAAACATGTCTAACATTTGTGAAATTCCAGCAAGTACTATCTAATTATAAAAATGTCGTAGCTTAGTATGATCAGAGTTGTCCACAGCAACACGTAGCTTTTGGCATGAAATCACCACATTTTGAGGAAAATTTTCCTGTTAGAAAATGCAACGTACTTACTAATCAGTTATTATCAGTTTATCTAAAAGAACCAAATTGTCAATATTTTTATTAGTATTTTCTAAACTTTTATGAAATTTGAAAATTATTTTGATTGAAGATATATTAATATATAGAAATATTCGAGTTATGACTAATTTATTAACTAGATAATCTAAAAATATTTCGATAAAATGGTTTGAGGCCTAAAGACAACAAAATTAACTTTCTTTCATATTTTTTTCAACATATAAAAAAATGTCAGGAAATAAATTAATTGTGAAAAATCAAAACTTTATTTAAAAATTAATTCTCAGACATAAATACTAATTATCCTAGCATTATATAATGATGTGATCAAAATTCAATGATTGTGAGAGAGAGTTCGTGCTCCTTCCCAGCGTGTTGTAAAGTGATGTGGTCTTGTGATCAGCGATGCTAAACCAACCTTCCTGGCTTCTGGTTGGAAGGTTGTTGACACCGACCTTCACTACAGCAACCTGAAATATTTCAATGTGACAACTAGTAGGATAGCAAGCAAGTTCATTTGCTTCGGGACATATTTCTACCATCAAAGAACCTGCCCGTTTAAAGTTGAAATAGATGCAAAATTCTTTTGAAAGCAAACATCACTTCTTTCATTCGTTTCCTATTAATTTCCACTATAATATAGCAGATATATATTTTTAATTAATGTAAATTAAGTTTGCAGTTCACTCTCGTATTAACGAGATATCATTAACAACTTATTGTAATTTATTTTCTCGGGAAATTATCTTCAAGCCTAAGAAGCGATAAACAATAACTTCTACTTGACCTCTGCACAAGGATAACATTGACCTAAATCGAGAAGGTGCCATATTGTCTAACTAACAAGTTAGGTCTGAACGTACGATAACATACACAGAAATATTTTTTAAAAAAAAACATAAAATTAATTGCTCTCAATCCGGGATAGCCTATTAGTTTCACGATTGATTTTTATTGCTATTAGTCTGTCGGAACACGTTTTTGTCACGTTTACAAAGAACAACATAACAGAAAAAATTCCGATATTCATAAAATACCAAGAGAATAACTTTGTTACGCGGTCATCTTAGCGCCTATTTGTTAATAATGTTGCATGCTTTTCGTCAAGTATGATAAATAAAAAAATAATTTATTGGCTATTATAAAATGCGTAACGTTCTTTTTAGGATAATTTGTTGACGATAATGCGATCTTCTTCATTCAAAATTTGAGTAATGATAGTACGAATTGAGAATTTCACGGTTATACTTGATACTGCATACGAACCGGCTTCATTTGCTAGTACTAATTTAAAACCGGGCATTAAAACAATTGAATAAACTTAAGAATATAAAGCATTTAATAACTTCAAAAGAGATTTACGAATTCACAGCTTGCAAATTAATATAATAGCTGTCACGATTTTCTCATTTAAAAAAAATTATGTAAATAAGTATCAATGACATTAAACAAACCAAATGATATTGTCTAAAGTAATTGTGGTATAATCTCTAACAGCGGACAGAGGTAATATTTTGCTATGGGGTGGAACCCAACCACAGGAAGCGTCCTTGTTATAAGCAGGATAATAGAGTACATAGAATCATTTAATGCTATTTCAAAACGAACAATTATTGACAAATGAAAAAAAAAAACTTTAACATAATTTCTTTTTTAATAAAATAAGTTTATAACTATATTAAATTTATTTGGAAAGAAAAGTTCACGTAAATGAAGTTTATATTCTAAAAACGATTTGTAAGGCAGCTTGCACGATGGTACTTTAAAAAAAAAAAAATTGAGAGTTTAGCCTAAATTCTCGTTTAATTAAGTGTAAATTTTTACATCTATAATGACAAAACTACAACAAATCGAGAAATAAGTATTTCTTTTAAACTGACTCAATAAACACAGTCCATTGATTATAATCAATGGACTGTGTAGAGTGAAGGACGAAAGTTTCGATTACTCTTAGAGAAACTGCACAGATTTTTAAAATCACTTCAATAATATACTGTTATTAATAACTATTTTTTACTACTACTATATTTACATTAATTTCATTTAATGTTAGCGATGCAAACCGCCGCAGTAATCTTATTGCAATTACTGCATGCATGCTTTATGATTACAAAAGTTAATTTATCGGAGAGAAGCATTCATTTCTTATTTCAAGATGTTTTTATGTACCAATTTAATACTTACATATACATATACCTTTATGTTATATTATTGAAAATTAATTTTATAAAACGTGGTTACTTTATTAACACTTCACATACGAAACAATCTTACTTCTGTCATCTGTATTGAGCTATGATGCAAATATATGAATAAATTAATATTTAGACTTTTTTCCGGAATGATTCGTGTGATAATTGCTTCGCGACGAAACATTTTCGTTTAATTGCGACATCATATTAATGCGAAATCCCAATTATAAACTTTATTTTATATTAATATTTAAAACAGGGAAACAATCTTTATTCGTAGGTCATCAAATATATATGTAAAAAAAGTTTAATATTTTATTATAATTCGTTAAATGTCGTAGTATAAAATGAATAGGATGTACTCGACCGACTTCAGGATAAGAGGATAAAAACATGTCTAACATTTGTGAAATTCCAGCAAGTACTATCTAATTATAAAAATGTCGTAGCTTAGTATGATCAGAGTTGTCCACAGCAACACGTAGCTTTTGGCNTATAGAAACAGATAAACTGAACTTAGAATATATATAACGATTAAGATACTCCCGTTTCTGATTACATCCTTTAATCCTTCATTATCTATATTATTTTCCTTTATCTCTAGGTTAAAATTCCTCTAGTAAAGTGATAATATATACAAATTTTATAATGGCTACAATATGCTGCTATCAACAAAATCGCTTCGACGTTTATAAAAAGTAGATTCGCCTGCAGTCGCTTCAACCAGAACTGCTCAACCTACGTGTTACAAACTAAAAAAAAACTTTCAAAAAGTTATAAAATGTAACGAATAATTTGATTTAGAACTTCAATGAGTCAACCAAACACCGATCAAAAAGTCGGATTAACGAGTTATTTGGATTTAAACAGTGACAAGAATTTGGTGACTGAAATTGATTAAATATGCCCGAAAGGGAGACGTCATTACTTTTAACACGTGTTAAGCGCCGGGATATTTAATAAATAAAGTAAGAAAGAATGGAAGATAATTTCTCCTTTCTTTCGATTTTTTTTCCTGCTTTGCCGGCGAAACCGAAGGCGGTAGACATCGCCCACTTCGCAACGCACAGGTGTATAGGAATGTAATACAGGCGTTCGCTTACCTGTAATTTGTCTTCAGATGTTACTTTCAAAGTTGCGAGTCCCGCACCACACATATAATTGACTTTCTAATCAGACATCCGAAAGGAATTGATAAATAAAAGCGTCATCGCAACGCAACATGGGTCGGTCAACGTTGTTCTCACCTGTCTTCAGGTGAATAATTGTACGAGTCAAAAGGACAGATAGAAAACGAATGAAAAAGATAAATTGTGGGAAAAAATGTAAAATTATTATTATTATTATTATTAAATTAAAATTTTTCGAATTAATTCGAGAGATTTATACAAAAATAATCTTTTGTAATTTTCAATACGAAACTGATGTTGTTGAATATCAACGACACGTGAGCAGTAACCGGTTTAGTTTTCTGTTCTCACAGATGGCGACACAATCTAAAGAAAATTTGAAATGCGTTTTAAATTATTTTGTGTTTTCATTTCTTTCTATTTACATTTGTTACAAAATCTTTTTATAAATACAAAAATAATATCATTAATTAATAATTTATTATTACTACTATCATTAAATTATATAAATATTTTGTTTCAAGTTCAACCTTTGATAGAGTGCTGCAGCTCGTCGCTTTTCACTCCGGAAGAAACAGTGGGGCCGATCGCACAGCGACAGAAGAGGCGGTCTTATCGAAGACGACCAATCCGAGAAGACAGGAGAGAGGTCACGAAGTGACCAAAGCCGGCCTTATAAGAGACGACTCCCGCGAGAAAGGGAGCCAGAATGCCTTCCGGGAGGACTTGGGGGGGTGGAAGCTGGCCCCTATTCAGGCGTCATTGGCAAGGAGGAAAACCCGGAAAAAACTCCCGCTGCCAGCTCGTCCGAGTGAGGCGCGAATCCCCCCGATCGAACTCCGGTGTTTAGGGTCTGGTCACCAGCATTAAACAGAGAGGAGTCCACTCGGCCACTGGTGGGCATATTTTGTTTCATGGTTTGTCGAATTGACATTCTGCTGATTTTTTTTTTAAACTCTTTCCTCCTGTGGGCACTAAGAGGGCCTCTTTCAGCAACCCGCCGCCTCATTGTGGATTCGGCCAAGCCCACAATGGGGAGGCGGATTGGTGAGGAACGGGGCCCGACATATCCGGACGAACCACCCCCGAAAAATTTTTGGGGATTCGATTCCGGATTTCCCAAAGCGGTTGGCTGCCACCTTGACCGCTCGTCCATTCAGGTTCATCCTGCTGATCTAGGAATTGATCTAGGAAATATCATGGGTTATTTGACCCAAGATTATCTGATATCATCTCTCATTATGTCTCTTTTTACATTTTTTATTTTTTCATTTTTAACTCTCGTCCTGTGGGCACTAAGAGGGCTTTTTTCCATCTCCCTTATGGGTTCGGCCATGTCCATAATGAAGAGCGGCCGGATGGTGAAAGACAAGGCCCGACATATCTGAGACAAACTGCACACGAAAAACTTGTGCTCACCGGATTTAATCCCGAGTCCCAAGGTCGGCAGGTTGACATATTCACCATGTCTGCTCAAACTTCCCTCTTTTGGGACCTAATCCCTTTCCCAAAAAGAATATGGAAAAAAGGCTCTCTTCATGCTTGTTGAGCGAAAATAGTTTAAAATAAAGTCAGATTAATGAAATTAATATTGGTAGTCTGAGACATGTCACTTCATATATATCAGTTTCAGTAGCGTAGCGTGGGTGTCAGCCGCCCGGGCCGGAGGAAAATTTCGCCGCCTCCTTATTTATCTCAATTTAAAAGTCTAGAATTCAGTTTTGTCACAGAATAAGTAATGAAAAGTTTCGTGCTTATTTTAATCGATCCGAATCGTAGGTGCGACAAAAATATGAAATGAAATGGTTCAAATTTTTACGAGATATTATTATTATTTATTGTGAAATTTTGTCGCCCCCTAAAAGTGCCGCCCCTGCCGCCCCCACTACGCTACGCCACTGATCAGTTTATCTTTTTAAAATTAGAAAACAATGCCTCAAATGACTTCTCTGTTATTCAACCTTTTAATATTTTATTAAATGAAATTTCTTATTCTAAACTGTTATAAATAAATTCAAATTATCGTCTACATTTCACAAATGGATCTGTTTTTGATGTAGCACAATACAGGACTATTGTAAAACTCTAAAGCAAATCTTAAATGAAAGCGTAACATAAAATACAAATGGGATATTGTCTAATGTTCCGATAAGATTGTTTCTAATTGTTGATATTTTTTTAGCTCTCGGCACAATTTGTTCAATTTTAAAATTGGCAATTTTTCTAGTTGGAATTGTCTTTTACAATAAAATCTACACACTAAAGAGTAGAGAATTTTTCTTATTATGCATAACTGTAACAGTGTTAGGTTATATGATACGAGAAACCTGACTTGTTTCTATTTTATAAAAGTCTAAATCAGTGGTGTCCGAACGATGATCCGTAGCATGTTCGGCCCTCTGCACGATTTCCTCTAGTCCAGTGTTCCGCAACCTTTTTCTACTTGCGCCACACCAAAATGTTATTCCCCTCAAAAAACGTATGATATGATACTATTAATAGAATTACGTAATGCCACTAACCTATTATTATTGTTATTAAACAGACATCAACACCTGTGAGCAATTTTTTTTTACATATAATTTCTTAGAATACATAAAAATGCATGGCTTGTAATAAAGAATAAACAAATATCCTCTTATTTCATCAGTGCTGCGGCAGAGAATGAAATACAAGCATAAGAAACACAACTGTGATAAAAATATATAAATAAAATTTGAAATTAACAGAATATGTAAAAGTTCATGTCACACCTTTCACTACGTGACGGCACATCAGTGTGCCGCGGCACACCGGTTGCGGAACACCGCTCTAGTCAGTAAATATATTTGAATCATCAATCATAAATGATTTTTAAAAATATTAAGAGTTTCTATAAATTACAATCCTCTAATATGCTTAACTTGCTCGCGATAACTTCAAGTCAAAGAAAAGAATATATGAGGACTTTACATCTGTATCTCGTTAGCTCTTCCCTTTTCTGTGAAGGTTGTATTTCCGAGTTCGTGAAAAATCTACAGGTGAGAGAGAGAAAGTGTTTGAAAACATATGTAATTTTTGGCATTCCATCGCCGTTCTTAAACTGATAAGTTATTTTCAAATTAGAAGTTACAAAATGCACATTGTTGATGGCCGAGGGTTGCATGAGTTTGCATGGGTTTTTCACGGCGGTCCGCGCATGAATTAGGATCAGTAATTTTAAAATTTCAAAAGACTACGTTTTCTGTAAGTCGGACACCTTTTTGAACGGGCCGTATCCAGAGCCGTAGCTATGGAAGTCATGAAGTGGCTAAACCTCCTTAGCTTAGTTAACAATGCTTATATGCAGAATATATGCTTTCGCTTTCCTCACATAAACTTTTACATCTACTTTTTTATACTTAGACTTTAGCCAATTGGCCTAGAACTTCCTGAAAAAGTAAAAAATCCTAGTCAAATTTTTAGCACTTTGCTCTATCCCCCCAATGATTTAGTCCAGGCTGTGGAACTGACAGTACCACGGCAACTTACGATATGAATTAAAATAAAAGTTTTTAAAAATTTAATAAAATAAGACGCGCTTGTATTTTGTTTATTAATTGCTATTTTTCTCGAGTGAAATATAACGTATATTACAATAAGGAAAGGCTCGGGAAAACGGCCCACCGGGTAATTTCCGAGTTCACGGTGGACCTGTCCACCACTGCTTAGGATTTAACATACAGTTTGGCCTCCGAATACGTAACGTAAGCCTCCTGTTGCTACGTATTGGATATCGAAACTTCGGTATTAACGAAAGTAGCTAAGACTAGGCCCCTGGACGAGTAGGAACCTCTTTCAAGGAGAAACCTGTGGTAGATAGGAATCCGGAATGGAAAATTGCGGTATAAATGACATGATATCGGGTGAAGCAATATCCAGTGAACTTTTAAGTCCAAGGGAAATAGCATCTCTTATGTATGTTCCAATTACATCTTATGATATAGAGCATTTTCCAGGTACCAAAGTGTTGTTAGACTGAACCCATTATCCTTCATTAAAAGAGTACTACCGGAGTACCGGTTAACTGTATGGCCCGTCTCAAAATTCAACGAAACTTTGCGAAACACTTTTTTCCCTTTGCTCTTTCCTCCCTGTAGGCACTAAGAGGGCCTCTTTTAACAAGCCCATTATTTAAGTGTTCGGCCAAGACCACAATGGGGCGGCCGAGTGATGAGGGAGGGTAGTCATATCCGGTAGGATCACCACCGAAAAATTCCTGGGGGTTTTTCGACCCATCTGGATTCGATCCCAGGCAGTGGCGTACCGTGGGTGTCAGCCGCCCGGGGCGGAGGAAATTTTCGGCCCCCCTTATTGAGGTATTTCAATTTAAAAGACCAAAATTCAGTTTTGTTACAGAACAAGCAATGAAAAATTCGGTGGTAGTGCAGCGACCTGTTTAAAATAGTTCTCTTGAATATTAGTGGTGTATATGAACGCGAATGAATCGTAAAAGCAAAATAAAAAAAAAACGTCAACAGGTTTCGCAGGAATTCCTCGGATGAAAAAGCTACTAGTTCACCCAGCGAGCCGATTCCCGGACTGTCTGGACGATAGCACTATCGTAGGCGCGATGCAAGTATAGATTAGGATGTTTCAAATTTTTACAAGATATTATTATTATTTATTGTGAAATTTTGCCGCCCCNTTTCCTTTGTTTAAGGGTATTTGGGCAGTTTATTCTCTGTTATATTCTCAATACATACAAGTACAACAATACATACAAGTACAGTACAGTATTTTCTGAGGAAACAATCGTACTTATTTTTTTAAACCCCATTCCCGATAACCCGGCATTTTCACAAACTCGGACACGCTTCGGTCCACATTAGGCCGAGTTTTCGAGGTTCTACTGTATTTAAATATAAAATTAAAAACAAAAACTCACAAGTTAAATATTATTCAATAATTTTGTAGTTAAATATCCGATTTCATTTAAAAATCGGATATTTACGTACAGAATTCGAACAAAATTCCACGTTCATCGGGTTTGGTATCAAAAGAAATTCGATAACATTTAAAAAAAATGTCATATCGAATTTTGTTCGCCCAAATTACCCGATACTAACTTGTAAGTTCATAAATTTGATGATAACTTTTTAATTAATTAAGTA